TTCTTTCTGAATTCAGTTATCAAGAACTTTGAGGGCGCGCGCCCCCTTGACAGCGCTTTCGCACAGGTTCAGTCCTTTTCCCAACCGCATCGGCCATTGCCCTCTTATCACTAGCCCCCATCGCTTCCCATTCTCCGCTAGCTTGGATCCTGCGCTCGTCAAAGGGCCACGCTCAAGCTTACCCCCCCTGACTGCCGACCATCCACACCCTTTCCCTGGTCCGCACCTTCTTTGATCTCCGTATTCCCTCGCAAGCTCCACCCGCTCGCCTTCGCTGTCTAGGATCTTGAGTTCCGTTGGCGGTTATCAAGTGGGGGAGGTAAGTGCGCTCTTTCTGATCTCGTTTCTTGCCGTGACGGTTGTTCTTCGCTCGCCTCTGTCTGGAGCGTGCACTCTTCCCAGACGGACCTGGTCTTCAAGCTCTCACATCTCCTCTTTCTTTCTTCCCCCGTCAGTCGCCTTGCTCCCCCCTGTTCACGCCTCAAGCCTCGTTTCGCATTGGCATTCCCAATTGTCAATCTTTCCTCCGGTCGACTCCGACCCCACCTCCTCTGCTCAGAAAAAAAGGGGCAGTCTGACGGTCCGTGCCCGTGCCCGACGTTGGTAGTCAGAGTTAGCATACAGCGCCCCGCTCCTTCATCGTACCTGGTCGCCTCTCTGGATTCCATCATGCTTGGGCCCGACACCGGAGGGTCCCACTAGGCATCCGTGCACGAGCCTCACTCCGCCGTCCCCTCTATTAGCCCCGGACCCATCTGCAAGCCAATCACGTGTCCCCAGACAACCGATCGGTCCCGCTAGCTCCTCAGATCAAATGGACGCATTGTCAGATCGCTGTCGCGGCCCAGTCCCATCGAACGGGTTACCGTGCCGAAGCGCTTGCCTCTAGGTCGTCGTATCAGGCAGAATCGTCGTTAAGTGGTGACCGCGCCACTCACACGGCAAATGCGGCAGTTGAGCCGCTTCTTCAAGAGACTGTCCACGACCTCCTTGGTGGTTATGCCCCTCAGTCATTCTGTACCTTCCCCCGCACCGCAGCCCCATGGCTAGGTGTAGCTAATCCTCGTCGGGCATGACCGTAGCAGTCCAAGGGCCGCTCTTCGCAGTCCATCCAGGACCCTCTGAGGTTCCTTTACTTTCGAGTTTTCCATGGCCCGCCCCAAAGTCATCTTTCAACCCAGGATTCCCTGACCCCGACACCAAAAAACCTCGATTTTGAAAGCCTGCCAGAGCCCGCTTGCGATCGCGGTTCGAACTGCCACTTCAGTCCCTTGAAGGGTTACGAAGTCCCAGAAACTCAGACTCTCCCACAAACCTCCCAATCGCATGCAGGCATACACCAAACTCAGGCAAAAAACAAAAAGAAAGGTTCGGAAATTCATTCACGTCAGAAAAGAAAGTCCTTCGGCTGGTAGGCAGCCGCCCGACACCGGTACCCTTTGCAGGTTTCAGAAGAAAGGGTACTACTGGCAGGACTGGCAGGGCGGGCAAATCAGGCCGGTACCCAGTACAGATTTCAGAAGAAAGGGTACTGGTCCAATTTTCGGTGAGAAAACGGGCCGGCACTTTTTCCAATTTCCAAAAGTGGCCTGGACATCACCCAGCGCCCATTGTCCACCAGCAGGAGTCCCGCCTGCCTTTACTCAGCGCCCATTGTCGCGCCTGGCATTACCCAGCTCCCATTGTCGTGCCTGCCATTACCCAGCGCCCATTGTCGTGCCTGCCATTGCAGCACCCATTACCCAACGCCTGCAGGCGCGAGCCTAGTCGGCAAGCGCCCGTTGCCCAACGCCCACCGGCCAGCGCCCCGTGTTTCTAGAGCCCACCGGTCAACACCCAGCGTTCGGTGGCGTCGCTAGAGACGTAAGCTCTCTCTCTCTCTCTCTCTCTCTCTCTCTCTCTCTCTCTCTCTCTCTCTCTCTCTCTCTCTCTCTCTCTCTCTCTCTCT